TCAAACACGGACTCGATCTTCCATTACTGGTGGGCATTAACTGGGTCCAAGCATCACTCTGGACCTCTCCGCTGGGCTTCGGTCGAATCCCGGCCGGTCCGAAAAATGTAGCTCTAGCCCCAAACCCGGAAACATGCGGCGTTCGGTGAGTAGTCTCCGTTGGGACACATCAGATCTTCGTCTCGACGACTCGGCATGGTAACAGCCTGACTGCTGACAGCATTTTTGTTGTCTTTGAGGTTTGGTGGAAAGAAAGAGGTGCCCATTGCCACCCAAACTTAATCCCGAATCTTATTTATTAATTTTGTCTTTAAATCTCTCTTTCAAGAATCATAATCAATTCTCTTATAGGTTTGCTATCAATTGATGGGTTCCCTTTTTCTGTGGTTTCTCCTTCAATCTCAATCTCTCCAACTGCAATTCCAGTTTTCTGTTTGGATGCCGGGAAATCTTAGGAAAATAATGTCTTTTTTTCCTTTTTTATCCTTCTTGGCAAAATTGGAGTTTAGTATCTGAAAATTTTTGTCCTTTATTATTTTCCCCTCAATTTTCTTTGCAACCAAACACGCTGCAGGGATTCAACGAATGGCTTCTGCGTTGGGATTCACTTGGCCGACCGACTTATCATTTCCATTTTTTGTTCCTAAATTTTATAGAGCTTTTTATACAGAACCCAGTTCGAGAAGAATCTCAACAAGAATCTGGAGCCACCAAAATCCTAGCTTTGTTCTTAAAAGGAAACATCCCACCACAAGAGAATTCAGGCTGTTCAAATCGGTGGAGTTGGAGCAGTTCATAACAAGCGACGACGAAGACGAAATGAGTGAAGAGTTTTTTGAGGCAATCGAGGAACTGGAGCGGATGGCCAGAGAACCCTCTGATATTCTTGAGGAAATGAACGATCGCCTTTCCACAAGGGAATTGCAGTTAGTCTTAGTGTACTTCTCTCAAGAAGGGAGAGATTCTTGGTGTGCACTTGAAGTTTTTGAGTGGCTGAAGAAGGAAAATAAGGTTGATAACGAGACCATGGAGCTCACGGTTTCGATAATGTGCAGTTGGGTGAAGAAGTTGATTGAAGGAGAACGTGATGCTGTTGATGTGGTTGACCTTCATGTGGACATGGATTGCGTGGGATTGAAGCCGGGTTTTAGCATGATTGAGAAGGTGATCTCCATGTACTGGGAGATGGGGAAGGAGGAGAGAGCAGTTTTGTTTGTGAAAGAGGTGCTAAAGAGGGGAATTGCATGTGCTGAGGATGATGGTGGAGGACATAAAGGAGGGCCAACTGGGTATCTTGCTTGGAAGATGATGGTATGATTCTCTTGCTTCTGACTTTTGATATCTGTTTGCATTACTTTTGTTTATCTATGATTTATTATTTTGTCCTTTTCAAGTGATAGAGATTTGGTGGGCTTGTCTTTTGATTGTTGCTTGAGTTCCAGCGGTTCTGTTTGCTTATGGAAACTTCTAATTTTTGCACTTGTTCTTGGTTCACTAACATTTTTATGGTCAACTGCGTCAGAGATTGTGATTCCGTTTTAATGGTTCTGTTACGTAATTGTGAGTGAAACGGTTATCTTGTGTAGTCCAGTCATGCATTACCTTTGATTTATCAGAGAAAGTGCATGTATAAAGCTTCTTTTTGTATACTTCTTATTATGGTATATTTCTTTTGCGCCAAATACCGACTGAACTATGCCTTGTCAGGTTGAGGGTAACAATAGGGATGCTGTCAAATTGGTGATTGATCTTCGTGAATCTGGATTGAAGCCAGAGGTTTATAGCTATCTAATTTGCAATGACAGCAGTGGTTAAAGAGCTTGATGAATTTTCAAAAGCTCTGCGTAAGTTGAAAGGTTTTGCAAGAGCTGGTTTTGTAGCTGAACTTGATATGGAAAATGTTGGTCTTATAGAAAAGTATCAGTCTGATCTTCTGGCTGATGGGATGCGTTTATCTGGTTGGGCAATTCAGGAGGGAAGCTCTTCACTTTATGGGCTGATTCATGAGCGGCTTCTTGCTATGTACATTTGTGCTGGTCGGGCACTTGAAGCTGAAAGACAGTTATGGGAAATGAAGCTTGTTGGTAAACAGGCTGATGGGGATCTATATGACATTGTCCTGGCTATCTGTGCTTCCCAGAAGGAGTCCAATGCTATAGCCCGGTTGCTCACTAGAATGGAGATTTTGAGTTCTCTGTGTAAGAAGAAAACTTCATCATGGTTATTGAGAGGTTACATCAAAGGAGGACATATCAATGATGCTGCCCAAACATTGATCAAAATGCTTGATTTGGGTTTATATCCAGACTATTTAGACAGAGCAGCTGTTATGCAGGGACTGAGGAAAAGAATCCAACAACCCGGAAATGTTGAAAGGTATCTTAATCTTTGCAAGCACCTTTATGGTGCTAGTTTGATTTGACCTTGCCTTGTATATCTGTAGATAAAGAAATATAAGCTTTGGATTATCAAAATGCTATAGATGTCTCTGATCAAAGTGCAGACCAACTACGACATCAGAGCTATGTCTCTAGAGTTTTGTTCTTGGGGGGTTTGTATGAATACTTGTATAGATGGTGGCAATTGTATACATAATAAAGAATGTTATACAGAATGTAATTATGGAGCCTTGTACTTCTACCAAAGTTGCGTTCATACATTACACTTGTTATTCCTGTCTCAAATTGAGTGCTTGTATTCTAGTCTTCACCATTTCTCCTGGATTGCTCAAGTCTAGCCTAAACTTAAAAATGAATTCAGAAAAAATAGGGATGCAGTCCAGGAGGGTAAAAGTCTTTTTATTCATACTGGATGTCAAATCACGAGAAGAAGATTGACAACTATTGATCTCTCAATTATGTTGCCTGTTTATGCAACCAAATTCAAACATATAAACAAACAAATTAGGGGTTATAAAAACTAAAGAATGAAGATGAAAAACCAAACAAGAAACCAAAAAGGTTGGTCCTTTCTCGGTTATATACAAAAATTATTCTTACCCAGCAACCAGGATTGGAAGAAACAGCACCTACCCTACACATCACTGCTTCTTAAACCAACAACAGAAACAGGGGAGAGAAAGCGAAGATTTGGTTTAAATGCTCACTTTCACCTCTTCAACTTGTTTCTGTAGACATGATTTCAAGCTCAGCCCACCAAAGGGGAGATTGTTTTGGAGTTGCTCCATCAGGTTCCAATGTCGTGATCTCTTTTAACTTAGCAGCTACTTCTCTCATTGTCGGTCTTTCCTTTGGATTAGGATGAACACACATCTTAATCACTTCAAACAGTTTCTCCAGCTGATCCTCCTGGAAAGAATTAAGAGTTGGATCTACCATTTGCTTTGGAAGTTGGTCACTTCTCAAATAGTTTGAGGCCCAGTCTGCGAGAGATCCATTGTCTATTGAGTATGGGATCCTACCGGTTATCATTTCAAGTAATATTACCCCAAAGCTGTGCACATTGGTCTCTGAATCCATTGATGTGGTTTCTAAGAGCTCCATTGTGGCTGATCCAGCCTTGGCTGCTGCAGCATCATTGCAAAAGCTGAAGTCAGATATTTTGGCAGCATAGTCTTCAGTAAGATATACAGAGGAAGACAGCAGGTTTCTGTGGGGTATGGGTGGAGTCATCTGGTGCATATGCTCAAGGCAGTATGCCATGCCCATAGCTATCCGTAGTCGCATTCCCCAGTCCAAGTGTTCTGCTTCTTGTACTGCAAGAAATACAGTTTTGAGAAATCCCAGAAATAAAAGAGTTCATTTAGCATCAGAAACTTTAAACAGTCTTCATATGCTCGATGGTGTCTGAATCATAGACAATAAATAGGTTTCATTCAATTGACATTTTCATTATTCAAGAGCATCACCATGTAACTCATTATGAAATAATATGTATAGAAAAGGAGATGGAATTATTTCTTCAATATAATTGCTATTCTCGGGATAAAAGAATGAGGCACATACTATGTAGATGCTCGAAGAGTGTTCCATTAGGAGCATACTCAAAAATCATCATTCTCGTGAAAGGTTGATCCTCTTCACAATACCCAATAAGGTTCACAAAATTCTTGTGATTCACTTTTGACAACGTCTCTATCTGCAAAAATGATTGATTTTATGCTTAGGGATCGTCTCAATTTCTGAATTCTTAGATAACAAAGTGATGCTGAGGAACTTTCAGAATCTATTACCTTTTTCCTGAACTGTGCCTCTAAATTCTTTGACCAATCGTCACGAGATGTGACTGCACTGGATGTCACAGCTATTTCAACCCCACTTGATAAAGTTCCCTTGTACACTGTACCATCTGAGAAAGAACCAATTATATTGCTGAAATCTTCACAGGCTGCTTCTAGTTCTGCTCGCTTGAGATTAGGTACCCCTGAAATCCAGACACTGAAATATTGAGAATGCAAACTTGTATATGATGCTGACGCTGATGATTGAGGATCTTCATCCTTGTTATCCAAGGAGAGAACCATTTCTTTGCCTAACAGTGTGACATAAATGGCACGAAAGACTGTTTCCTTTCATCCATAGATGGTTGCCAGTAATTAATTAACAGGATCTCCACAAAGGAAAATATCAAAAGAGTTAGTAACTAAGAAAAGGTACCAGTTACAAATGCTTTTTGCAGCTGTCCACTCAACCCGGTAGCCCACGGTTTGACAGTAGCCACCTTACTGCTTCTGAAGAATATAATGGCAATGACTGAAATAAGAACGAAGAGAGAGCCCCCAATACCTGCTACCAAGGTTAGAACCATATGATGCTTTGAGTTGGAAATCTTATGTGCACTTTGGAATGGAGTTGAAGCAGGGGAATCAGTTGGGATGAAATGAGATTGTGGTGGTTCAGAAATGACAACTGGGGAAGCTGCTGGAGTTGGAGGAGGAGTTCCTACTTCTACAGGAGAAGGTGAAGGAGTCAAAAAGATATTTGAGGGGGAAGGTGATGGAGAAGCAAATGGGGCTCCAAAAGGTGATGGAGATGGTGATAAAAATGGTGGATTTGAAGGTGGCAGTGAAGATGAAAGTAGCGATTTTGATGGTGTAGGGGACAGTGATGAATGGGAAACTCTTTCATTGGCTTTGGGGGGATTTGCCACCTGTAGCAGCCGCCTCCCATGTGCTAAATCTCCAGGTTGGGCTATGTTCCTAGCAATGAGAAGCAGATACCATAAAGCAAAGATGCTAATAATTTGTGATGAAATTTATAAGTTACAGAGTAGAAGATGCTTCAAGCAGAAAATTATGTTAATATAAAAGGATGCAAGCACTTGCTTTGAACTTCTTTGCATGAAGCAATAACAAGTATACAGAATTTCTTTCTTTTTTTTTGAAATATAAGCCTCTGAAGACCTAACATGCTTTTGTAATAGAAAGAAAATTAGAATATATCTCTACACAGGTTTGGAGTATAATTTTAAAAACATTGTTTCTTTCTCTGAACTAGTATAGTTCAAGTTGATTTCTGATTTTCCTCTTCCATAATTATAGACACAGCATAAAACACTCTTGCGGTCTATTTCCCTTCCATTACATGGTTCTAAAGTGACTGACAGAACATAAGATAATTTTTAAGTGAATTTTGCTTGCTTACCAAGTAAAACCATTGCTGATACAGGATGGTTTCAGGGCAGCACCAGTTAGATGGTTCTCATCTACCTGAATTTCAGAAAGCATCTTAAGCTGATAAAGTTCTGGTGCTATGCTCCCAATGAACTTGTTGTTATCCAATAAACTGTGGTAAGAAAAATGACTCAATGAAAGCTCGAAAAAACACAACTAAACACAAAAACAAACAAATAAATAAATAAAAATAAAAAAAGATAAACTTACAGGATACTGAGGTAGAGATTGTTGCCAAAATCAGATGGAAATGGTCCACTAAAGTTATTGAATCCTAAGTCCAACAGCTCCAGATCTTTCAGTTGTCCAATTTCTCTAGGAACATTTCCAGAGAAAGAATTGTTGCGCAAAATACTGCAATTGTCCAAGATCCATTGTAGTACTTAAAAAAACATTGGCAGATAAAGGAGGTTCTGTCCAACAACAACCCAGCAGATGATATGCTTACATAGATTTTAAGTAGTTAAGCTTTCCAATTTCAGGTGTCAATGTACCCACAAGACAAAGATCTTTCAAGTTTCTGCAAATTGAATTGATGTGATTTCAGAGTTAACAAAAAATAAAGTACACTGGAATAGCTCAAAATTTCAGTCACAAGATAAAACCATATAGAATTACATCACAAATGAAGTGAAAAACAAAGCACGCCAACAGCAAAACCATACATTAAAAAAAGCAAGGTTACTCCATCAAGACCACAACTGTTATCAAGTACCTATGATATGGTATTACACATGTAGCGTTAAACAGTTGGTCCAACTAATCATTTTCAATCTCTAAATTGCATCCAATTTTTAATAAAACAACTTCGACATCAAGCAACAACCAAATTTTCAATATCCAATTATATAAAATTCAAGTGCAAAAAAACTATTCACCTTTTTGACATGATCAACCAAATTCAGTAATTGATTCTATGAACGATGCTTTTATAACAACATTGGTAGTTGAGAAAAAATTATAAGTTTGTTCGGCAGCGTACCTAAAACTAGAAACTCAGATGACCAACTACTTAAAATAAACATTGTTCACTATCACCTTGGCAGAAATTGATGTCCTCAATACCAGATTCTAGTTCTATGCAACAAAATTGAAAAATCTGAGTCCAGACGAAAATCAAAGTTTCACTGACAACATTTTGCGAGCAGGTGGGAGGCTGACTTTACTGAAATAAACAGAAAGAGGAACAAGAACATTATCTACAGCGATGATGAATTCTATCAGAGATGTAACTCACAAGATGACTACTTTTCCATCTGAACACTCAACACCGAACCATGAACATGGATCAACGTCTCCATCTTTCACCTTCCAATTCGATAAAGCACCAAAAGGGTCGCTCACAATTCTTTCTCTAAACCTCAACAGAGCCAATCCTACACCATATCATACACCAAAACAATCTTTAGAGACACAGAACTCATTACACCTTCAAAAAACCAGAACAAACACGCACGCAATGTTATGGGTACCTTCACTCTTCAGAGAAGAACAGAAGCACAGATTCTGAGTACCAAACAATACGAACACCACCATGAACACCGCCACTCTGAGCTTGAACCGATCAATGAATACCCACCGCTCACCCATCATCGTGAAAAAAAGATACTAAATTTCGTCAAAACAGCCCCGCCTGTTCGTACCAACCTTAATTTGAGAGAGAAAGAAGAATAAAAAAAAAAAAAAAGAGAATATTGAAAACAGAGAGCTTTGCTGGAGTTTGCAACAGAAAGCTCATTTGGACAAAAGAAACAAGAAAGCGCGTATGAAGAGATGGCTTTTAATTTATTAGTGTAATTACATAAATAATGAAATCATGCAAAATAAAAATGGGAAAGTCAAGAAACTTTTCAATGATTAAAAGAGCCGTGATTTCTGCGAAACTCACGGGGTTTTTGGGTTGAGAGAGTATGAGTTTGGTCGCAGCCGGATGGTGTACGCTGCTGCGACTCGTCACGGTTCACGTTGGATTTTGGTTGGTCGGAATGACGGTGGAGTGGAGCTGTGGTCCTGTGGAGGTGGATTGTATTGACTCTCCTCAGGTAAGGCCTGTGAATTAATTTATAGCGCCGTCCTGCAATTGTGACGTGCGGAGCACGTGATGAATGGTCTTCTTCTTGCTTAGCCTTGTGCCAGGGGATGATATTGGCGTATTGCTCTGAAAATGAAAACTCATAGTGTGAGTAGGAATTTCATTCGTTGTCTGTGGGAATGATTTTTTTAAGTGGAAAAGTATTCTAAATAATGTATATTTTCATGTGCCAAACGTACGCCTCTTTTTTTTTTGGGACAACCATGTGCAAAACGCATTTGATTGGAATCAAATTGAGAGTAATTAATCTAATTATTAAGTTAATTAAAAGAAAATTTATGCCAGGATTTACTCCATCTTTTGTGCCCTACTTCGGATTAAAGATGAGTTTTTCCCATCTCATTTTTTTTTTATCATAAATATATATAGAGAAGGTAAAAACTGATACTAATTTTAATATTAGTATAAAGTAAATGAATTTAATTAAATAATTGATAAAATAAAATTTAATTTTTATTTTTAAAATAGAGATGTATGATAAAAATATGTATTTATTATATTTTAGTACATAGATAAAAAAAACCTTTAAAAAAGATTTAGAGATAATTTTTATTTTTATTTATATTTTATCCTTAAATAAAAAAATAAAAAAAAAATAAAAAGAGAGTTTTTGCTATAGAATAAATAATTAAATTTTCATAACAAATTTTATCAAGGAATCATTTTCATTTGTTATCAAATCTCTTTTTTATTGAAGTAGCCAACACAAGTCGTCTTGGATCTACTAACCAGATTAATTATTCCAAGTATGCTTTGATGAAATTCTTCACCCAATTACAATTCTGTTAGATCTAGATCATCCACCTTCATTGACCCCAAAAATAAAGATTTTCTTAAAAAACATGCCCAAATATATAGATCAATTAATTAAACGACTGCTTCACTAGTTCTCAAAAAGGGAAAAAGAGACTGCCTCACTTCTACCCTGCTAACAACCCTGATTCATTGAACTGGTTATAATTTTATCATAAGCTTAGAAATTAGAATCAAATGGGGCCGGTTATGGCCTAAACACATGCATACATATTTATATATAAATAAATACAATCATAGATGTGGGTAGTACTGAAGGATCGATATTTATCATTATATTAACAAATATTCTTTTGGAACATACTTGCATATTTGTCATGTGTGGACCATATATGCACCTTAAGTTTGGTTGGAGATAGGGATGAAAATGAGTGGAGAGTAAGGTACCTGTTGGTACCTATGTGCATAAATTTTTTTTTTTTTGTACAACAGCTAGAGTCATTGTTAAGTGATGGATCTTTATGGTGCATATGGCTTGGAAGATAAGTTCACAGGTTGAGGAAGGTGGTATGATTCCCCTCAATGGGAAGAGAAAAAGAGAAGAAAATGATTTGCAATCTTCCATAAAATGATTGAAGGTTATGTGATACTTTGTCCTTTGTTAAGCTGTAAATTAATGTGTAATTTTTTTGCTCAAGGAAAATGAATCGGTAGTTTTGTTTTTGACCTTCTAACTTTTTATAATTATTGTATATAGTGACTCTTGAATTTTAAGTAATTACTTTAGAAGATAATTAAAAGCTGAATTTATTTGCATTTCTATAATTGGTAC